GCTATATCTGGTGGGAGGACGCCTCAGTAGCCGTAAACCATAAAGTATGGTGAGACGCCAGTTATTCGATGAAATTTGAGTTCGGAAGCCCAGGACAACGGTAGTAACTCCTTGAGCCATCTTCCGGGAGCTTTATCGTTTTCTCTGTACATCCTCTTCTTCAATCGTCCAAGATCATGCCATTTGCCCGCTCGACTTCTCCATTAGCTCTAGGATGCGCCACCGAGGGCGTATTTTACAACTATGCTCCTTTCATCGCAGAAGTCCCAAAAAGCGTTCGGTGAACCGAAAATACCCGGATCGATAATGATCTTTGTTGAGCACGCCAAAAGCGGTGGATGACCTGGTCGAGGAATGTGACACTTTCTCGAGGATGCCTGTACCCGCAGGCATGTATTCTATCCACTTAGAAAACTTATCAATTAGTACGAAGACGCATGTAAATTTCCGGTGAGCTGGTTTGAAAGGCCGATCATGTCCGGTCCCAACATGCGAAGGGCCAAGAGGTTTGGAATCATCTGGATCTCATGTGCTGGTACATGGATTCTCTTGGAGAAGAACCCTACAACCTTCACAATGGCGGACTAGCTTTTTCTGCGTCGATTATTGCGGCGGCCAATAAAACCCGGCCGGAAAGCCTTACCGACCCGGTGTTCTTGAGGCGGCGTGGTTGCCGCGCAGGAGCGAGTGGATTTGGTCTAGGAGATGCTTGCCTTCCTCCCGGGTTATACACTTCATCAAGATTTCCTCCTTAGCGTTTTTTATGCCATAACTTGCCATCGACGAGCGAATCATCGCTTACTACGACGCATCGAGCGTTCATTTTCGTTCGATCGATATAACCGCTACCGTCTGTTAAGTACTTGATAAAGGTGTTCTCGATCCGGCTCATGAGTGGTGAGCGGCTCTCGGTTGTGCTCGGCGCGGAACCGTAGCCACTAATTGCTGGTCCGAAACTTTGTCCGGTTGTTGAATCTTTGTCTTCAATGGAAGGCGTGAGCGGTGTCTTGGACGAAATCGCCATGTGGGATTTTGGCTCGGATGATCCTAACTTTGACAACGCATCCATTTGCACGGTTCTTGTCTCTCGGACCACGTGTATGTACTCGATGCCATAGAAAGCGCCTTCCAGCTTTCTTATCGATTTGCAATATCGTCCATCTTTTCAATGGTCGTGTCCAGATCCTTGTTGAGTTGGTTGATGACCGAGCCGAATCTCCGTGAGACATAGAGACGTTTAACTCCAAGCTCAACCGCAATCGTAGACCATGCGAGCATGCTTCATACTCGGCGGCATTATTAGATCTTTGGGAAATAAATCCACGAGGGCGTCTGAGCTGCTCCTTGGATGGTGATACAAAAAGAACTCCTGCTCCCGCACCATTAATGTTGAGAGAACCGTCAAAGTACATCGTCCAATATTCGTCGGATCTCGGAGAGGCAGGCGTGCTTAAGTCTGTCCACTCGACGATGAAATCGACGAGTGCCTGAGACTTTATTGTAGTACGACTTGCAAATTCCAAGGAAAAGGGCATAGCTCCATTGCCCATTTGACGATCGCGCCTGTCGCATCCTTATTGCGAATGATGTCCCCCAAAGGATACTCGGTCATGACCACCACACGATATCCGTCGAAGTAATGTCTCAACTTTCGGGATGTTATCAGTATGGCGTAGAGCAGTTTCTGAATCTGTGGGTACCTGGTCTTGGATTCGTTGAGTACCTCACTGATGAAATAAATTGGCATTTGTACCTTGTAAGGCGTGGCCCTGACTCGTCGCGCTCGACCACCATTGTAGTGGAAACCACCCGATCGGTTGCCGCCGCAATGTAAAGTAGGAGAGTTTCGTCTTCTCTGGGAGCAGTAAGTATCGGAGGTGACGTGAGGTATTGTTTCACCAAGTAAAAGGCAAGATCTTCCCTCCGACCACTCAAACTTCTCGGACGATTTGAGCGGTTTGAAGAACGGTAGTCCTTTTTCTCCTAATCTTGATATGAAACGGCTTAGAGCGGACATGCGATCGGTGAGCTTCGGACATCCTTCACCTTTTTGGGGGCTTCATGTCTAAGACAGCTTTTGACTTTCTCCGGTTAGGCGTATGCCGTCAGAATCCCAGCAGCGTTGCCGAGCAATA